ATCTGCTTCTATTGCTTCTACACAATATTAAAAACCAGCATATATCCAGAATCCAATGAATATTCAGCAGTAGCAAATCACCCTTGATGATGATAGGGTTTAGAACCGAAAAGGCACTGGGAGGGTGTGATTGTGTGTGCAACGAGAGTGGAAGACCAATCTCTCCCCTTAGAATTGTTATAACACTGTTCTCCTTTAACGAAAGATGGCACAGGATGAGTGATTACTGTAGCTATTAAGTCTGCATGAGCAGCCAGCGGGCACACGGCCTTTGTTCACAATCAGCTCTGCCTGAAGGAGCCACATGCAGCCTGCAAGCTCCCCTCCCAACAATGAAACGCTCAGCTGCATCAGAAACACGTGCTGTCGCAGATTCTTCTCCCCCAGACCCAGTGGTTACATAACGACCACCTCATAGCCACACGCGTCACAGGCTACATTTAAACCTGAACCCCTAAAAGCACACAATGCTATTGATGCAGTGTGAAAGTCTTGACTGACAGAACTAGGAATATCTAGGGGGCCTCAGTGTTTCCATAACAACAAAAAGCTTAGGGGACAAACATACTTATTTAAAAGCCCCACCAGCTGAATTTGTATACCTGAACAGAGCAACTTTGAAAAACTTTCCGAGGAAACAATAAATAAAGCAAACAAGGAGGCCCGACTGAGCCAGACAAGCAACCCCCGCCTTTTATTATGTCATAATAATAACCATATTTGTAAAATATCTCTGAAAGCTTTGTTTACTTTTAAACATGAAATGTTTTTACAGTGTCCAGCTACTAAATACTATATATATAACCAGTGTTGGGGGTAATCAGATTACTGTTGATACCAGCAGTAATTGTATAACATTTACTAAGCACCAAATTATCTTGTTACCCGCGTTACTTTCACGTTTTCAACTATCTGCATAACTGGAGGACAGACAAATAAATCAAACGTCCCTTTTCACTTGAGCTTCACCCGCAAGTTCATGGATGAGCACGGGCACCATCAGACAGAAAGACTTTTGCAAGCTACCTGGACCAGTGTTATGATAGAAACTGAGCTAAAGAAAAGAGCAGAAAACAGAGGTATTTGTTCAGTATTGTCCATGTGATTTTGTGCTGATCTGGGGCCTCATTTATAACGCCTTGCGTAGGATTGACGTGAGAAGGTTGCTTACGTAGTACAAAGCAAAAAAATAGGTACAGACATTTTCCGATTCACAAAACATTGCGTACCGGCGAGGGAAGTGCGTACCGGCACTTCATAGCCTGTTTCCCTTTATAAATCACAATCGACTCGAAATGCGGCGCAGCTTTTGCAGGCTTCACGTAACGCCCATATTTGCCTATAAATAGTCAAAGAAACACCCATTCATTCATTCATTTTGACTGACTGCATGAAGAAGATCGCAGGAAATGACGACCGAACAGCTAAAAAAGACATCTCACACCGTGTCAGATTTTGGTTATTTTGGGGAGGTCGAGATAAATCATGTTGTTTGGTGGATGCAGTTTGAACCAGAGTAGCAGCATGGAGGTCGGATCGTCACCAAAATAAATAAATAAGTGGTCAGAAAAAAGTTAATGACAAAAAAAATACACATAACCTTCCTCAGGCAGTGTGTTTGTCCCGGGGACAGGAGACACCCCCTTGATGAGAAACTGTAAGAAATGATCGGGGAATCCCTCCGGAGTGGAGTCATGACGACTGGATCTGAATTATTTTGTTGTATTTGGTGGTTTGTGTTCCAGCTGTCGATCAGCAACTATATATCCATAATCCACCAGGTAAAGGAAATACAACTAATGTGTTGTGTTATATAAGCTGTACAATTTACCACATATGGTGTTCTTAGTTTCCATACCTCCTGTGTTTTACGAGCGACTTATCAAGTCTTGGCAAACGGCATAACACACGATTAAACGTGATAGTATATAAAACCATGCTCGTATCTACAACCTATAGAAATGCAAAACGGCGTCAGTTTAGACGTAATTCTGTCCTCCTGCTTACCGCATCATTTATGAGAAAACATTTCATAACATTAACACAACATATTCGAGGTGGTTTTAAATAGCATATCCGTATTTATTTATTTCTCCAAGTTATGTTTTTGTGTGCACTGAGGAGTCTCAAACAGGCGTTTGTTTAATCATTTTAAGATTGGCTTTAATCAATGTTTGAAAATGAATTCTTCATATATGATAAATGAGAGGTAACATTTTATTTATGGTATTATGTCCACATATTTCTCTCCATTCTTCCTTCTGCCAACGGTGTCGCAGTTTCTCGTCTCTCCCGTTGATGTGCTTAGTGCGTACGCATGGGTTAGAGTTTGCGTGGAGGACCGCACATTTTCCCGTCAAGTTAGTATTTTATAAATCGCAAACATTGCGTAGAAACTGGCGTACGCCATTTTTTGAGCGTATATCCCTTTATAAATGAGGCCCCTGGGCATACATGAGGTTTAAGGTAAAGGCAAAAGAAATGTAACAAGTAGTGTAACTAATTACTTTCAGCACTGAGTAATTTAGTAAAGTAAGGCATTTTTTTCCTAGTAACTAGTAGTGTGTAACTTGTTATGGGTAACTACCCCAACACTGTATATAACACAGATCATAATCTAATATGGCGGTTTGTTTTCAAGAAATAGAAAGTGTTAGGCTCTGGTGAGACCTGGTATTAACATGTGTACTGGGTAATCCGATCACAAGTGGACAGCTCTAAGTACAGGTGTGAATGCTCAAACATTAAACAAGATCTGAAACCTCAGACAACATTCCGAGGGGGTCTGGGCCACATTCTTTAAGCAGTGTGTACGCAGTTGGGCCATAATGAAAGACTACTCAACTGAGTACTTATTCTCTTGACTTCTGAGCTATAGGAGCTCTGTGGATTGTAGTTGTCTCTGTATTTTTAAATATTATTGTTTCAAAGTATTTCTCATGCCACAGGAACCACAAAGAGTAAAACGTGTGTGTCGGTGCTGTACACATATCTGAACACCCTCCCCTGCTATTATACCCGGCTCTCTGGGAGCTCTGTTGCAAGCACTTACTAAAACAACTTACATTTTTCTATGACAATGCATGAAAGAGACTGTGGCTGATGAATATTTTACAGCACACAAAGAGCAGAGTGATTCATCAATACACACTCAGCTTCCTTATACAATAACAAAACAGTTTTCATGCAAATGCATTTTATCCCGCTGTCAACAGAATGATATACCATTCTGGGAGGTCTTAGTCAGCTTTATTGTGCTGTTTTTAAGAGGTGTACACAATTATGCTGTGTAGATATAAGCACACACACACTTCTTGCAGGAAAAAAGAGCCTTTGTGGATCTATGAAACGAGTGCCAAATGAGAGGCATATCTAATCCTCTCAGAATTCTCATTCTTCTTCAAGTAGCCCATTAATTAAGAGATGAAAACACTTCAAACGCATGCTTTTGAGTTAGAGTGGCACATCAAACAGGAGAATCACAGTGGCCTGCTTTGGAGGGGGCTATGGTCCTACAGGCCTTTTTCCCTGCACAGATATATTACCTGTTGTTCCTGGAGAGGATAAAATAAGTGTTGGTGAAGGGAAATCATATCATCAACAAATAGGAAATGTTCTGAGGCTGTATTACAGCTCGTGGTATATTTGGTATGATGGGAACTTGTGATCAAAAATATTTTTTTCTGCAAAAGTGATTTATTTTGTGATCCACATTTTTGAAACTCCTCGCAGCTAAGACCGGGGATGATCTAACTGCTGGAGATGAAGATGAATATTAAAGCTGAATCCCATCAGGCAGACCTCTCTGAGGCCCCGGCCCCACGGGAACGCATACGGCAAAACGCATAGGATTAACGCAAACGCAATCGCCAAAAAGCTTCAGTCCACACGCAATATACACCGGATAGTGTCTGCCCACACGAGACAGCTCCGTTTAGATCCAACCGCTGGAAAAGCTGCAGTACATATGCCGAGCCTGTACGTGGCGCTGTAACTTCCTCCACAAAAGCAGCAACTTCCTCCACAAAAGCAGCGAAGAAGAATGGTCGTCATGGCTGCACTTCTGTTTATTCTCCGCGGTGGGGGCCGACGGAACCGGGCAGAGTTTTTCGCCGGTCAACGTGTGTTAAAGTTTAAATCTTCCGGACAAAATTATAAAAGTGCCGGTCAAAGGTCTTCTTTGTTATTTATTGAGCTTTAAAACAAATGAATAACGACTATATATAATGATATATAATAATAAAATACACGGAGCCTGTCCTCTCTTTTTCCTCTCTTTTTCCTCTCTTCTGACAGCGTCAGTGTCTGTCTCATGCAGCAGCTGATCCTGTAATGAGTGACCCGACAGTAAAAATAAACATATTTATAACTAGTTTAGGTAGTTTGAGAGGTAATTAAAATAGCTAAGGGTGATGATCTGACTTGAAGTGTGTGTTTTGCTCCCGCTGCATCACAGCGGGAGGAGCTGCGTGTCTCCGTCCTGTCAGATTAGACTTCACTCGCGTTTATGTCCATATCGAGATAAAGATAAATAATCTGAATTCAGTGTGCAGTGTACTTTTGCGGGGGTGAGCAGCAGAGGTGGGGAGAGGCGGGGCTATACACGGAGCCGTTGGACCCCCCAGAGCGCTCCGTTCCCAGATCTATCCACCTTTGGACCCGTTGTCGTTTGCAGGGTCCGTTTCTATCGTTTCGTTACGGCGTCGTGTGGCAAAAAGGGCTATACGCAAGAGAAATATGCGGATACAACCCGTTTTCGTTCCCGTGGGGCCGGGGCCTGAATGTTTGTGTGTGTATGTTAAGGAGTTAAAAACAAAAAGAGGTCAAGCTGTGGGTTAAAAAAGCATGTAGGAGCTATGCTGCATACCGTTACCTGGAGGTTGCTTTGAAATGTGTACTAGCACAAATATATCAGCTGTATTTGAAGAGGCCCTCCATATCACTTTGTTTGCCCTTTAAGTCAGTGAGAAAATAAGCAATAGTCGCCCTCTTTTTCTTACCTTCAATGCTGAGTTCAAAGCACACATGGCAGAAAGACGTGGTCCCTGTATCCGTCTCTAGCTTGCAAACACTGCAGATATTGTCGTCATTTAAATCGATGTTCACAAACTGCTCCTCTTCATCCATTGTGCTTCTAGAAAGAAAAAAAACAAGCAGTGAATTAGAGCACAACCACCAAGTGTTTTTTTCTAATTAGGTCGCATAAATAAACCCATGAAAAATGCATTTGGGTAGTGTTGGTGGGATGAAGATGTTTGGTTCACATTATGTTTGGTGCAGGATAGAGTGAGTTAAAGAGGCAATCTCTTTTAACTATGTTTGAAGTCAGTGATGTTATTGATAAATTAGCAAACACGCTGATAAAATGTTAAAGCTCATTGCTGACACAGCAGATTGAACAGGACAGTCTCTCCCTTGTCACTGTGCCAACATGCTGTTTGATCTCATGCTGTGAAACACAAACTGATGTCCTCTCCGCTCAGAGACCAATCAATTGCAGTCATACATTTAAACTACAGTAATCTTTAGGGAAAAGAGGTTACATTTCAAGACTTGTATTTCTGATGACTTTGGTTTACTGGCAGCCACACAGTACAAATAAAGAGGTATTATTAACTTCAATTAACAGTAGTAAAATAAATACTGCTGTGTCCATCTCTGAGTTTTCAGAATAAAATACTTAAAACCAAAGACAGTATTCAAAACTACCTGTGGGAAACCCCATTTGGTTAGTTGTGTAATATCAAGGCAAAAAAGTGTGAACCGTCAGAATGCAGAAGGAAATAAAGATGGATATGGATAAGTATCAGCTTCTGTGTAGATTTACCCACAACACATTAAATCATATGAGTGTGGCAATATCACATCAAAAATAATCTCTAAAGTGGCATCTGTGCCGTTGTAAATTGAATTTGAGAAGCTAGGGACTCTAGCCATTCTAATGTTTCCCTTGAAAATGCTACTGGTCTTACTTTGCCAATTATATAAAAATAAATGTTAAAAGACAAGGTTCTTCAAGGTTGCTGATCCGTTTTGGGAAAAATGAATTTCACCGTGACAACTACGAGGACAAAGCTTTGGCACAAAATGAAAAGCAGCATACCACAGATAACACAATGACAGATGCTACAGGTTGCAGGTTCTAACAGTTCTGAGGCATATCGACAGCTCTGCTGCATGCTGTTTTAATAACACCAAACCCCTTAAGTGTGAGCCAGCTAAGCAAAACAACAGCATTTTAGTTTTTAATTGTACTGGGAGTGATATTATCAGCGACTGTATACAGCCTTTCAGTACACCAAATCATAGAAATCTAAGTTAATACGCCATAATTCTGCCCAGACCAAGCTAGCAAACTGAACCGTGTTGTAGAACAGCCAGTCTCAGTTATAAAGGGCTCTTTTGAACTTTTGACAGTGTTGGATTTACATAGAAGTTAACCTTCGCCATAATGTATTAGTTCATCTTTCGGCATTATAAATGTCTTAATATCTATTGAATGATAGTTCGGCTGAAAGCAGTGTGCAGTGACCCGAGTGTCTGTTTATACCGTTAAAAACAAATGCTTGCTAACAACAAGTGAAGCTAGCAGCACACTGGAGTAACGTTACTCTGCTCTGGCTGATTCGTGACCGTTATTTTTGCATTGTTAAACAGCGAGTTATCTAACAAAATGAAGGTGCCAGCAGTATTTAGGGCAGAACTTTTGTGAAACTCACCTTTATTTAGGTGTAGTTGCGGGTAGCTATTCCTTTTGTGTGGACCCCTCTGTTCTTTGCCACAGAGAGCACACAAACATCGAAGCGTCACGGCAAATCCAGAGAAGAAGATACAGGAACCTCTCTCCCCTCTCAGCGGAACGAACCACTAGTTTATTTAGGGGTGAACTAATTCATGCTTACTTTTGTTATTGAAGACGCTAGCTACAGTCAAAACCCAAACAACACATATGAAGTCTTAATTCATGGCATATATATAATTGCTTCATTGTAAAAGGTACGTCTATTTCGAATAGCCCCCTTTAAAAGCAGTAGCCTTAAAAACTCCCCTACGGTTGAATCAAGGTTAATCTTCCAAGCGTCATCAAAACATTTCCTTATCATAAAGGAAACAATTCCGAGTTTAAGGTGTTACTAACATAATGTAATAAATCCGAAATGATATAAGTAAAGTATTTCCCCCTTGTTAAATACAGTGTATGAGGCTACAGGTCTGTACTTCAGGCGACTATTCCATCTTTCGCTTTCTATTCTCCTTCATTTGAAGTCACACGTTGGTGATTCCCGCGAAAGGAACACCTACCCAGGGGTGTCAAACTCAATTTCATCGCGGGCCACATCAGAATTATGGTTGCACTCAAAGGGCCGGTTGTGACTTTAGGACTATATAAATATATAATATATATAAAATAATGTATTATAATACATAATTTCCTGTGCATTGGATTATTATCGGATAGGGTAATAACTTCATAATTAACTCCGTCTGAAAGCAGAAGTCTAGGGCAAATAATTGCAAGTCTCTTCAGTGAGCATGTCATAAAACAAGATGCATTGTGGGACATGTAGTTTATGGGCAACGTGCTCCTGTAAAGTGGCATGTAACCATAAAATACACTTATTATATTCTTTGCATGCGGGCCACATTAAATGAAGTCGCGGGCCGGATTTGGCCCCCGGGCCTTGAGTTTGACACCCCTGAAACGCTTTAGGTTTTGTGCCCCTGGGAATAACTGCTTTAGCAAACTTTTTTTTCTTTTTCTAAAAAAAGAAAAAAAAATTATTGTAAATCCTTTAAAAAACATTAAAGATATGATATCTTTAATGTTTTTTAAAGGATTTACAATATGGATACATTATTGATTCCACAGGTGAGAAACAGGCTAATAAATAGAAACATCAAACAAAACGCACAGAACAGCAGCTCTGTCATTAACGCAACCCCAGAGGTTAAATGATGATGAGAAATAACAACAATCGAGAAAATCCCTGCAATATGATGTCACCAGAGGCCTGTACTACGAAGCCGGTTCAACATAACCTGGATATGTTTGAGTAAAGGCCGCTACACACCCACCTGAGACCAAAGAACGCGTACCGAAGGCGTCCCGACTTTTACGTCAGCTACGTCGCCTGCGTCGGCTACGCCGCCCGCTACGCCGCCCGCCTACGAACACACCGCAAATACTTCAGTCGACGAGTGGCAATAACTGTCCTTACCAGCAGGCAGCGGTAGTGTGAACAGCCAATCAGAGTGATTGCTTGGGCCGACTTTCTCTGACCTCCCACGGCCGATTCAACATGTTGAATCGGCCGCGGGAGGTGTGAAAAGGTGCCGTAAAGAGACGACGGTGCGGGACACACCAACCTGAGTAGGGCGCCGCGAATGCCCGACTGCCTTTGACGGCCTCTGACTCCCAAAATCGGGTTGGTGTGTAGCCAGCTTTAGCCGGTTGGCCTAATCCAAAACATACGCGCTCTCGCTAAGCGATCCTACGACGCGGGTTATCAAGTGGATCGCTCAAGCCAGCCGTGTCCTATCTAGTTAGGTGCGCGTTCACATGAAAGGGGTGGTATTTGGAGCATTCGACCAATCACAAACATGGACAAGCGTACTGACAGCGCAGCGCGTCATACTTCCTGAATGAAAAGTCAACTATAATATTAGACATATGAAGAAGTTAAACTTTAAACATCCATGACTTAAACACTTTATCCAGGATAAAAGTCACATAGCTGCACCTGCAAGGTGAATACAGCTGGTAAAAGAAAAAGTGTTTGAATGCGTACATTAACAGGTTTATGATATCACTGCCCCGTCTAAGGCACGATCTGACTTTAATTACATTTGACTCGAGTGTTTCGTCAACTTAATGTGTTGCTTAAAATAATACTTCTGCATACAGTATGTGACACTGTGAGTGTTGCACGGCCAGATACGGCTCAAGAAGCTGACTCAGATAAGGAAATATATGATACATTATGATGTGATATGATATGAATGATAATGGGACACATCGATGTCTGCACTCACAGTACGTAATGTTACTTTGACCCGGTTACTTATGTTGTGGCAGATATTTAATTAAGCTTTCTTAACGCTAATGTTATAATAGTGAGATTGCTCTGAAGATGGGAGGTGATATTCTATTCATTTTCACGTTCACACAGTCAGGTGATTTTTGCCGGCCATCTTTCCTGCAACGGCAGTTTAAACTGTATTTCCTTACTCCTGTCATATGACTTGATCGCTTTAAACTCTGCACACTGAGCTCTGATTGGTCAGCAGGCAGTGCTTTCACTAAGTTGATCTCTTAGCCTGCAACCTAAACTTAACAAAACTACACAATACCCTGCAGAACAATACATGTACGCATGACGTACATTTGAAGAAAAAAATTCTTTGAATAAAAACAATGACAAACAAAACACATCCACAGCCCAAATAAAATATCAAACTTGGTATGACATAACCTATTCCCCTGTCCTGCACACTTGAAACATGAACAAAAAAACATTATGCAGCATAGAATACACAGGAGAAAAGAAGCACACAAGCATGTAAACACCAGTCAATCAGCCCATAACAAAGTCCATAAAGCGGACAGGAGGCCGCGCTAACCTCCCAGCCCGGGACACCGTCGGTGCGGCTTGTTCGAGCTCAGGGGAATCACCAGCCCCAGAACCCGGCCCAAGATCACAGTCACTTTCCCCATCGGAAAACCTCAAGCGTCCAGAGCTCTGTGGGGAGACTGCATCTTGCAACGGAAGAGGCTGAGAAAGGTTTAAGAGAGACCTTGATGGTCCCTCCAAGGGAAAGGTTACCGGCAGCTTGTATCGCCGTAGCCTGTCATAATGGACAGTTTGGAGAGAGGCTTCATCCCCAAACGGGCTACTTAGTTGGTACGTGACCCCCACTTCATCACCCCTATCCATTTGCCTCTGCACCAGATAAGGCCCCTTCCAGTGGGGAGCCAGCTTACGGCGGCTCTCAGTGGGATCATTTAACCACACCAAATCCCCGACTTCATACGGGTCGTGCCTCACTCTGGCGTCATAGTACGACTTATGTTTGCTGCTTGCAGCAAAATTGTTATCCCTTGTCTGATCAAACGCCGCGTCCAAGCGTCTGAGAAGGGAACCAGCAAAGTCTTCCCGGGGACACTGCACCAGATCATCCCGCTTTGGACCCAGTAAAACATCCACAGGAGTCCTGGCCTCCCTGCCATGCGTGAGAAAATACGGCGTGAAGCCTGTGCTGGAATGTACACTGGTATTGTACGCAAACGCGACCTGTGACAGAAAAGAGTCCCACTCCCCCTCACATGATAGAAGAGATTTCGCCAACTGATCGATAAGTGTCCTATTAAACCTCTCTACCATGCCATCAGACTTCGGATTGTAACACGCCGCACAAATGCCTCACAACATCTGATTCGAACTGTCTGCCCATATCAGTGTGCAGAGTTTCCATTACCCCATGCTCCAAGATGTAGTTCTGGAAGAGACACTCCGCGACCGTGGGGGCTTTTTGATCGGGGATGGCATACAGATTTACAAATTTTGTGAAATAGTCCTCAACAACCAACACATACCGGTTGCCTTTTGATGTGACCGGCAACTCCAGTATGTCAGCCGTCACACGCTGGAAAGGTCTAACTGCATTCGAAGTTCTCATGGGGGCATGGTGTTTAGGCACCGGGGACTTCCTTCTCTGACAGGCATAACATTGGTCACACCATGATCGAATGTTACTGTGCATGGAGGGCCAATAGCACACACTTCTTGCGCGTGCCAAAACGAGTTCATATGCCAGGTGAGCAGTCAGTGGAGCACCATGCAAGTGTCCCAGGACCTCTGGAACTAAGACAGCAGGAACAACAACCTGAGTAGACTGCCCTGCCTCAGACAGCCAAACAACTCTACATAAAAGTCCCTCCACAAAAGTCAGCCGGGGAAACTCATGCCAAAGTCTCTTCACACCCCGACTAACATCTTTTAACCTCCATCTAGGGGGCCGTTGGCCATGCTCCAGCCAGGCCAAAACTTGTCCGATGTCTGCATCCTTTTGCTGGAGCTCCCTAATACAGAAAATAAGGGTGAAGAGTGAAGATTAGGGTCTGGTCCACTGAAGACCCTGAGTCAGGAGAAGGAGGGCCTGAAATCGGTCCCTGGGCTTGGGCCGTGGCAGGAGTCCCCACAGCACACACATCACTAGGACCACTGTCCCCAGCGCCAGGGAGAATTGTACTCAAGGGAGCGGATGTGGCATCGAGACTGCCTGAGTTCTCCAAAGCTTCAGGGGTGTCAGGCCTGCGTGAAAGGGCATCTGCATTTGTGTGTTTGGCCCCACTCTTGTGCACAATCACCCAGTCGTATGGGTCCAGCTCCAGAGCCCAACGGCTACGACGCCCCGTCCTGTCATTGTCAACCTGAAGTCGTCGCAGACCCAACAAAGGTTGGTGATCTGTGATAATTGTGAAGGGGAGAAGACCCAAGTAATGCCTGAAATGACGCACTGCCCACACTATCGCCCACAGCTCCCTGTCGTAGGTAGACCAACGCCGTTCAGCTGCTGTGAGGGAGCGACTAGTGTAGGCCACCACTCTCTCCAGGCCATCCACTTCTTGTGACAGCACAGCCCCCACAGCAATCTGCGAAGCATCTGCACACAGCACGAAACTCTTGGTGAAGTCCGGGTGACACATGATAGGTTCGGCACAAAGACCATCCCGCAAAAACTCAAATGCCCCCTGGCAATCCGCCGTCCACTGAAAAGGGACATCCTTTCCCGTCAGATGGTTGAGGGGGGCAGCACGCTGGGCAAAAC